GAAACATCTACACGGGTCTCGGGTGTCCGTGTGCTGCTGAAAGTCGCCAGGACCCAGCTTCAGAAACAGAGCTCAGGCTGCAGTGCCAAGGCCCTGGCAGGACCAGAGGTCCCCGAGTGCCCTCAAATGCAGGACCACTGTGGCATTGCACGCCAAGGCACTCACTCCTTGCCCTGCGCTGCTTTGCTACCCGGCGCTGTCAGAGTGTGCATTTCACAAGGTCAGCCTCTGCAGCACGTCCTCTGCATTTTCAAAGTCTTTCCCTAACAGGTGGCTGTCTCCCTCCTCCCCGTACATGCTACAGCTTGAGTTGACCACTTTGATCAGGGAGAAAATATCCCAGGGAAAAAAGCCCTTGATGTAGCACCAGCAATGTGTTTGAACCAACCCACCAGTGCACAGTGGAGGAACAGGGCCTGAAACAGAGGAGGGAAATGGATGAAGACCTGACCAGCAATCTTAAACAAAACCCTGCCTGAACCCCAGGCTGTCAGCCTTACCTGGGACTCAAAGAGTATTTTACGGCTTTCATAGAGACACCCACATCTGCAGATGAGTCTGCATCACCCACCAGCAGACACAGGACAGCATCCCAGGCTGCTCTGGAGGCATCCCCAGGCTTGCGTATGCTGATGGGAATCACTCTCCCCATACAAGCCCCTGGCTGGTTGTGCAGATTGAAATGGCCCAGGTGATTTGGAGAGAGACACAAACATCTAAATGGGACAAACTAATCTTTGCAGGTTCACTGGCTGGAACAGCAACTGTGGAAGAGAGCTGGACACCGAGCAGTTCCCATCCATGGGGGCTTTGAACACTGTGATGCTCCATGGGTATGTGTGGTTGCCCTACAAACAACGGTGGCTGCCTACCTGGAGCATGGTGCGGTGGCAGCACTGGCCCGTTGGCTGCCACTTCATCCTAACACACCCCAATGACCCGTGCTTTAATCAAAATGGATAGAAATCCTGGCCATCACCTTGCCTGCTCTACTGGTGTGGGACAGCTTGAATGTTTGTCTGAGCCAGATGCGTTCACAAAGTCTTGGCTTTAATGGCATTTTGTGAAACAGGTTGGCTCCTCCACTGCAGCCCCAACTGCTGAGAAATCAATCATTACCAGCAGTTAGCTGTTTGATGGTTAACAGCCTGAACCGAAGCCAAACTGGTTGTTAATTGGGCTAACAACTGATTTCAAGGGGTTGTTTTGCAGGGACCAACACTCCCAGCAATTGACTCGGAGCTGTAACTAGCAGCCAGGTGGCAATTAACGGAGCCGAGGGAAATTCGCAGGCCATTACCAAAGGGCTGGCTCCCAGCTGAGCATCTGCTTCTCACGGGGCGATGGGGAGAGCAGCCACATCCTGGGGCCTGAGCACGCAAGTACAGCCAGCACGCAAGGTCCCATTTCACATCTCAGCAGCCAAAATTTTCCTATCCATGTACAGCCTCGGTCTCATCATCCTGCACTTCAGCTACTCCAGCAGCTTTTTTTGGATGTTGTGATTGGAGTTTTTCTCATGTTTGCTATGAACTTCCACAGGGACACCTTCCAGCCCTCCTTCAAATCCTTCCCAGGACTCCCTTTTGCTGGGGTAGCAACTAGACCTATGGTTAGGTCTGTCTCGCCAGCTTATGCCACCTGCTACAGCCCACCATACAAAACAGCATATCTTTGGGACAAGGGCTGCCATTTACTCTGTGAGCAACTCATAAAAGAGGAGACTCCAGCCACCAAGATGTACTACTACAGCAGAAAAAGTTGGCAAAATAATCACAGCAAGAGTGAAGCTGAGTCTTTCCTTCTCCTTCTGCTATAAAAGCTTTAAGAGGGGGAAAAAAAAAAATTAAAAAGACTATTAGACATGTTGGCAGGAGAGGCCAGCCCAGGAAGCGAGGACTCTTTGCAGCGCCATGATCATGGCTGAAAGGGGTTAATCCATGGCTGAACAGAGGACTTGAACAGGAACAGGGGCACAGATCAGGTATCCACCCAACTGGGAGGCTCTGGCAGCCCTCAGCATCACATCATTCACAACAATCAACAGCACAAGCTTAGCAAAGTGGCAATACCTGGGCATGGCTGGAGTGGTTCTTCCCAACTCCTGCCCATCTACTGTTTATCTGCCATAACCACATTTAACCTGAAAACAGCTCTTCTCCCTGCCTGGCATTGCCCTGGTGTGTTCACAAAAATTTCTTTACTGAAAGAGTGGTTAACCATTGGAACAGGCTGCCCAGGGAAGTGGTTGAGATGTGTAGATGAGGCGCTTAAGGATGTGGTTAGTGGGGCATGGTGGTGTTGGGCTGACGGTTAGACTCGACAATCTCAGAGGTCTTTTCCAAACTTAATGATTCTATGAAACATCTGACAGCCTGGAGGGACCTTCTGCTGCTACAGCTACTATGAACATAGGAGAGATGCTGTAAGTCACATGAAGCCCAAGAGCATCCCCTCGGCTCCCAGTACAGCACATCTAAAGCGTGTTTCATTACAGAGTAGCCTGGGCCATTAATCAGGTAATCTGGAGTAATGGCTGTAATCTTCAACCCATCCACACATGAGCCCTCTCTCATCCTCTGGCTGACGTGGCAGAGGGCCAGTGGGTGGACGAGCTGCTTTGCTAGAGCCCAGCATCAGTTTCATGCTGACTTTTTACTGAAAGAGTGGTTAAACATTGGAACAGGCTGCCCAGGGAAGTGGTTGAGTCCCCATCCCTGGAAGTATTTAAAAGACATGTAGATGAGGCGCTTAGGGATGTGGTTTAGTGGGCATGGTGGTTTTGGGCTGACGGTTGGACTCGACAATCTCAGAGGTCTTTTCCAAACTTAATGATTCTATGAAACATCTGACAGCCTGGAGGGACCTTCTGCTGCTACAGCTACTATGAACATAGGAGAGATGCTGTAAGTCACATGAAGCCCAAGAGCATCCCCTCGGCTCCCAGTACAGCACATCTAAAGCGTGTTTCATTACAGAGTAGCCTGGGCCATTAATCAGGTAATCTGGAGTAATGGCTGTAATCTTCAACCCATCCACACATGAGCCCTCTCTCATCCTCTGGCTGACGTGGCAGAGGGCCAGTGGGTGGACGAGCTGCTTTGCTAGAGCCCAGCATCAGTTTCATGCTGACTTTGACCCCAAAAGGCTGCAGGTTCCCATTAACCAAGTCCCAAATCTCTCTCCAACATCTCCCAAGAGCTCCTCTGGTGCACCAAACCACAGCTGCCGTGTGTCCCCAGGCCCATGGGTTGTCAACACCAGAGGACACAGATTGCACATCCTCACTCCAGGAGGAAGGCAAACAGCAAACCTGGCTATCAAAGGTCTTCTGCAGCAAAGCCACAGCAGCCACCCCAATCTGCTTACCCCAGTCCTGGAGGGCAGCCTCCGACCCTGACCCCAGAGCAGAATGTGGCTGCAGCTCCCTGGGACCCTGCCCTGAAGGAGATTTCCAGGAGGAAAGTTTGAGGGTGGCACCGTTTCTAGAGGGGAGCTGTTACTGCTGTGGGCATGCATGGGGAGGGGGCAGAGACACTGCAAATGTGAAGCGGGGTGGTAATGAGGAGCAGATGTGTAGGTACTTGGAGTATCCCAGGTGCTACAGAAGTGCTAAGTGTTATTATCATGGCCAGGAAACAGGCTGTGAAAACCCACTGTACTCCACATCCCCTCGCTCTGCACCTTCTCCAGGATCTGGAGCCAACTCTCCCCATCACCCCCAGGAAAACAGGAGCCAGCCTGGAGGTGCCTTCAGCTGCAGCCATGCCGGGGACACCGTGGTCAGAGGGGCTGTGCAGAAAGGAAAGGAGCACAAGAGAGACCAAGGCTCAACAGGAGAGTTCAGCCTGGTCCACATGTGGCCGAGAAGGCTTTGTGCCCTGTCACAGCGTGACGCAGTCCCCCAACACATACATTTCAGTAGCAGTGTGGAAAGATGTTTCCCTACATGGGACTCATTTTGTGGTCACCTTGCCCAAAATTACCCATCTCATGAGCTCCTGGCCCTGGAGAGTCACTCCCTTGGGAGAGCACTGAGCTCATTTCTGCTCCGTCCTGCACCTCCCTCCAGGATGCTCCTGCGGCATTTGGGTCCACAGCTGGGGCTTGCTGGCACCAAGCAGGGCGTGGGGCAATGCTGCACCCTCCCCACTGACCTGATGCGGCCTGCTGATGAGACAGTTTGATTTGGAGTAGCTGTGTGAGAGCAGAGATATGGGATCCCCCACTGAGCCCCTGAGCATCCCCGTTTCTGGCTATAAACCCCCTTCCAAGGAGGGGTCTTTAGAGAGCAGGGCTGAGATGATCCACAAGCCGCGGCTGTCCCCCGCCCCCTCCCCGAGAGGAATTGCTCTCACACAAATGAAATGTGTGTAATTAATGGGCAGGGGGCTGGACAGGTCCGAGATGAAAGCGTTTCCTGGACTTGTCCTTCATTTGCATGGTATCAGAAGCTGTTCAGAAGGTGTGACTTTTCCCACAGGGAGCCCTCAGCTCGGTGGCACAATAAAGCCAGGACTTCTTACCCAGAATTAATTAAAGGAGGGGGAGGGGGATGGCAGGGAGATGTTTGAAAGCTGAGCCTGATGCAATAAACAAACACCCCAGTCCTTCTTCCCAAGCCAGGGCATGCCCAAAGGAACCTGGGTGAGCCCCAACCCTGCCACAGCATCATGCAGCCCACCCTGCTTGGTGGGCACCCTTCCCCAAGCAGACCTCACAGCTAAGTTGTTATGGGTTGGCCCTGCAATGAAGCCCAGCAGTGTTTGTAAAGTGAGAGAAGGGATGGGAGTGGAGACAGCATGTGCCGAAAGGTTTGGGGCTTGGTGGATCAAGCCCAGGTGCAGCCCCTGCTCAGACAGCACAGACCTCTTTTCTTGCCACTTTGATTTATTCCTGCCCACCTGCTGTTTATCTGCCATAACCACATTTAACCTGAAAACAGCTCTTCTCCCTGCCTGGCATTGCCCTGGTGTGTTCACCCCACATTTACTTCTTACCCTGCGTTGGCTGGCTCGACCACCTGAGCTTCCCAGTCTCGTCTCATGAGGCAGACTCTCCCAAACGTCGCTCAGCTCTAGCCTTGTCGCTGTGTCCAGGTGGCATTGTGCGGCAAAGTCCTGTACGGGCAGGGACACACATGCACCACTGCTTGGAGCTCAGGACAGGGCAGTCATCCCTGTGCCAGCAGCCAGGGCAGTATGGCTCCTCTCCTGCTTCATCTGCCACCTCCCTCCGGCCAGCCAGTGGCAGCAAGGGGACAGCAGGGTGACGCTGCAAGTGGTGGTGCTAGGGAAAGGCACATCCCCGTCACAAGGACTTTGCTAGCTCCGAGCAGGGGTTTCTGCCCAAAATACCCATGCTAACAGCATGAGTTGATGGAAGCGAACACCCCTCCAAAGCCTCCTGTTCCCAGCGCTCTCCTGGGTCCAGCCCCAGCTCAGTGTCCTGCAGTCCCCAGGACCTTTGGGTGGCTGTGATTCTCAAGCTTGGTCCACACCCACAGATGATGAAGGAGGAGGGAAAGTCCCAGATTCCTGGGCTGATGATTGACCCTGCGCGTTCAACCAGCAGCCAGTGTTTCTGCATCCCTGGAGGAACAGCAGGTACCACCAGGGACTGTCCCCATCTCCCTGCATGGACGGTGGGAGCTACCAGCCCTGGAGGACCACGTGCTTAGGACCCTGCAAGGCCCAGGTCACTGGGAAGAGCGTGAGCTGCTCCAGCCATGCCAGGGACTAAGCGTTATCAGTGCAGAGACAGGGTATGAGGAACCATTAATTAATTCACTTACTCATTAACTAACTAGTAGTGGGCTCTTTAATCTTCCAAGAAAAGGCAAAACAACATTTGCTGGCTGGAAGCTGAAGCTGGACAAATTCAAGCAATAAACAAAGCCCCAAGTTGTAGTGGTCCTAGGCAGCATGGCCACCTAAAAGCCCTTCAGTGAAAAGGGGCTAATTAACCACGGACCAAGTGAGCTGGGAAAGCAGGGGGTCCCTTCCCAGGAGCAGGCTTGGGTGCCTTTCACAAAAGCAGGCTGCAGCAGAGCAGATGGCAGGAGTTGGGGATGGTGTGTGGTACAAAGCTGGGCAAGGACACAGGGGTGTTCTTCCCCGGCTTAAACCCCCAGGGTGCTGGGTGTCCCCTGCTCCAGCCCCTGACTGCACCCTGGGATGGCAGGTATGAGGGAACAGCCTTACTGGAGGCCGAGCACCCACACCACACCCTTCCCTGCCACCACTGTCCCTGGGGGACAGATAACAAGGGAGGGGACTTCTGCTGACCTGCATGGAGCCAGTCCTGCCTCTCTGCTACCCTTACCTGGAGCAGCAACCCAGCACCAATTCACCCAGGTTCACAAAGCCATTAGGAAAAGCAATTAGACAAATTAATGAAAGAAAAGCACCCATTAAGGACTATCAAACACCATCTCTGCCTGGGGAAAGGCCAGGAGCCATTCACTTTTAGTTCCTGTAGTCTGGAGACCACAACATGGGCTTGCCCCAGCGCTGTCGGCTTCTGAGCTTCTGCAGTCCTTGGGTCCCGCCTGGAAGAGCCAGGCAAACGCCGTCTGCCTTTAACAGCGCTGTCCTATGGCCCAAGCATCACCCATGACCTCTGCGACACAGCAGTGACACTCAGACATAAGAGCATGCCCAAATGCTTGGTCCCCAGGCTTCCCTCCTTGAAATTAATGATACATATTGACAGCTCAGCCCAGCCTGTGGCATCAGCCAGGGGATGGCTTGTCCTCGCACCCTGCAGACAAGCAACCCCCTGAGCACTAAGCGATGCCACAGGCACCCCCTAAGGATGGCAGCACCAGTGGGGCTGGCACTGGTGATGGTGAGACTCTCACCTTGCGAGGCTGCTCCATTTCTGCAATTATTATTTTTTTTAAAAACATATTTAACAACGTTATTATTCTTGCAGCCTTCCATATCTGACCATATAGGAGACCACTCCATGTCCGAGTCCCCCATCAGCCCCTCTGAGCAAGACCCAGAACCTCAGCAGGGCTGAGTATCCACCAAAGGAGGGGGCCCAACAACTTGGCACAGACACCAAGCTCATCTAGACCAGAGGGGAGCAGATACCGGCTTTCTCTCTTGGAAAGCTTCATCCCATGCTTAAAACCGGTGGTCAAGGCTCTGCTGCACTATGCTCCCATCCAGCCTGCAATGGGCCTGCCCCCAAAGGGCAAGGAGGTGGCATCTGCCCATTAAACCTGGAATTTGCTGCAAGGAAAACCATGCATTTCCACAAGACTCATCTGGGTCCAATGTCTCGGGGCATCCTCCCACTTCCCACATCTGCTCCCTCAGGAAGGGGCTCACGCCAAGCGGCAGCCTCAGCCCCATCCTGCACCTCTCCAACCTGCCTCTCCAGCCCCAGCCCCTCCCTGGAAAGCATCAGGCTCAGTTAGACTAATACAAATTTTTAATGCACATATTAAATAAATATTTCAATCATTTCATATTCAATTTGTACACAACCAAAACAAAACAAAAGTCCTCAAGGAAACAGAAAAAACAAACAATCAAAAAAGATTGGATGAAAAGTCACCCCTGGTTCTGGCTCCTATCCAGTGTCTTTGTTTGCCCTCCCCGTGAAGAACAATTGCTTTAACCCTTTGGAGAGAGTCACAGTCCCAGGGCAGCATGTGCAGAGCTGGGCTGGCTGGGGATGTTCACTCAAGAGATTTAATGTTTCCTTCGGGTTTGTTTTTTTTTTCCTAAATAGAAAATTGGGCTTCTGTCAACACAGAAATTTTGAAAGAAAACCTCTCCTTTCCTAGGAGGACAAGGATGGCAGTATTTCTCATCAAAGAGCAAGCCTGGAAGAGACGGCTGACAATGGAAGTGCCAACCACAAACTGAATATTACGACAAAACCAGCCTGAAATGGCTCCACAGTAATTTGTAAACTTTTTTAATTTTACGGATTAAAACTTCCATCTGATAAAAAAATATAAACAGAAAAAAATATCAATTTTTGGCGAGAAGTTCACATTTTCCACATGGAAAAAAAAAAAAACCCCACAACCCAGTTACCAGCCCGCTCCACAGCAGCCGTCGCCCACTGCCTCACCTTAGTAGTTTAAAACAAAACAAATGCCAAAGATGCTCTTGTGGGTAAGAGGTACCAAGTCAGTTCAGGACTTTCTCTGGGGCGTCCGTCACCCCTGTCTCCTCCTGAGAAAAAAAAAATAAGTTGGGATTTGGGAAGCCAGCAGCGTTTTCAGAAGGATGCAAGCAGCTTCCAGCAACCCCTCGCTCAGCTGAAGAAGTAGGTGCATTTGAGGAAGGAAAGCATCCAGCGGTCCTGACCCCAGGCGTCGCAGCCAGCCCCCACAGGCAGTGCCCAGACATCACCCAGGCTGCAAAACCCACCCGGGAGGCCTCCAACCACCTGAAATAAATCCCCTCCCCTTAATTGTTTTCCAACCTCTCCATCTTCTCCGGTAAGCGTTAATTCAGTTCATTTAAGTAGCACATCACTCCCAGATTTGGATTTCCTTTTTTTTTTTTGCTTGTTTGTTTTAAATGGTGATTTTTTTTCCCCTCCTTTCCCCCTAGAGCTACAAAAAAAAAATTACAAAATAAAATGCGACCCCAAAAACAGACTAGAACATTTCTAAGCGAAGGGCTCTTCCCCCTTCACCAGTCTTTGAACGTTTCATTTCTTTTAAAGTTGGAGTACAAAAATAGAGCCTCTCTTCTTTTTTTCTTTTTTTTTTTTTGTAAAAACCAAACCAACCCCCCAAAATTATCAACAACTAGAATGAGTATTTTTTTTTTTATCCTCCCCCCTCCCTTTTTTTTTGTTTTTGTTTAATACCCATATGGGAAAGTCTCTACATATAGTCCACCAAGCTCGGAGGAGAGTCCTCCAGGAGAGGGGCGGGCAGAGGCAGGCAAGTCAAGGGCCCGCCCTGGAGTTGGAGTTTCTAGTCCTTTTACTTCTCCGGTTGAAGGGGTAGTTGAGGAACTCAAAGCGTCTGTGGGGCTCAGTGGTCTGGTGGCCCTTGGGAAGCCTCTTCATGAAGTGTACCTCCCGTTGATGCTGCCGGGTCTTGGAGCCCTTGCGCGGGCGGCCCTTGCGGGTGAAGGCCATGTACCAACCCTCGTACTTGGCATTCTGCAGCGCCGTGTAGTTGTTCTCCAGGACGATCTCCGTGAAGACACAGTCCTTGCCTTTGCCGTTGCTCTGAGAAGGGGACAGAGGGGGGATTTAAGCAACGGGCGCTTGGTCAGAGGCTGCTTCTCCCTACCCCAAGCTGGACTGGCTGGGGTGGCAGCAGGGTTGCGATGCTTATGGGCAGCCAAGGGCTCACTTTTCCCAGCTCTTCTACAGGTCCGAATTGCCCAAAATCTGTTTTTCATTAGAAAAGGTGGGGGGAGCAGGCATTGTGGCACAGGCAGACGCTGCTCATTGCAGCTTACATCCCCAGTGTGATGCCAGCACTGGGCTGCAAGCCCCAACATGGTTTGTCCCAGCCTTCACTTCCACTGCACCCACAGGGAGATTTTTGCCGGCTCCCATCCTGGCCCCATCCATGCCAGGGCTGGATTCCCCCACCAGCATGTCTATAAGCAAAGTCTCCATCTCAGTGGCAATTCATCCACCCATCCTATCCCCCCCCCCAGGGTGTTTAATATAGGAGGGGCATCAAGGGGCCGTGGGGATGATGTCCACAGACGCAGATGACAGGGAGCATGGGGGCAGCTGGGGGCTGAGCTCCTCCCCATTACAGGCAGCAGCAGGACTAGGGAGGGAACTCACATCGGCCAGCCCCAGGGAAGGAACCGCCACAGAAAATTCTCCCAGACAATCACTGTCCCAGCGGGATTTTGCACCTCCGGCCCCCTCCGCCCCCGGGGAGGGAGCGTCGAGGCTTGGAGGGAGCGTGACTAACTGGCGCACGGCAGGGCCTGGCCTTGGGGCCAGGCCCACGGAGCATCTTAACATTCCTGCCACTTGTACCATGTAATCGGGGAGAATAGCCCAGCAATCTGCCTATTTGTTTGGGGAGATACAAGGAATGCGCCCCACACAGCACCCGCCCGCCTCCCTTGCTCCCCCCCTTCCCTCCTGCCGCCTGGGCTGCAGGATGGCTCATCCCCCTGCCCTCCAAAGGGGTGCGCTGACTGAGCCCCCAGGACCCCCATCTTGCCTCCCCATCTCCACGGATGGGCTCCGTATCGGGTAAGAGCTCCTCTCCTGGCAAGCCCCGCTCAGTGTCCATGGCACATCCCTGGCATGCCCATGCCCTTGAGCCCAGCACCCTACCTTGCCGATCAGCTTCCCCTTCTTGTTCATGCAGATGTAGAAACCTGTGGCCGCCCCCTTGATGCGCACGCGGCTCCCAAAGGTGTCCGTCTCCACGATGAGCTTGGCTAGGGAGAAGAGTGGGAGGAAAGAGAGAGGGAGGTCAGAGGGGCTCCGGGATGGGGCAGGCACAGGGTGGAGACCCCAGCAATGCATCCTGATGCTGGGCACTGCAGGCACATGCTCTCTGGAGAGTGGGCCAGAGAGCGCCTTAAAATCAGGGCACAAGCAATGCATCCTGATGCTGGGCACTGCAGCCTTAAAATCAGGGCACGAGGCTAAGAGCCATCCTCGGCCCCTCTACCCTGCCACTGTGTCCCTGCATGACCTTGGTCACCTCCCTTCGCCAGCCTGAGTCATGCTGGAGGGGGAGTAGCTCTGCCTTGCCCGGCTCTGTGGGGCTCAGCAGTTTGGGTGCCACAGAGGTGTCACAGAGGGGAGGCAGGGCAGTGAGCAGGGCACGCACTGGCCAGTGGAGAACAAGCCAGCTGCCCTGCAAACCCAGGCAGGTCTGGGTGAGCCTGCAGGCAGGAAGCAGGCAGGCACCCTCTGGAAGTGCACGGCATGCTGCCAGCTGTCCCCAGCCCAGGAGTCACCGCTCCGTGTCTCTCTGCTGGGCCAGGGCTGCAGGAGGAGCAGTGACTTTGCAGCTGGCAGGGGAGGCGTGAAGGGTACGGCCATCCTTTTAATGCCTTTCACCTTTGCACGAGTTGAGAGGGCGTATTGATTTGGTCTCAGTTTTTTAATGGAGGCATCGATCGACTTCCGAAGGAGCTATGCAAATCGCCGGGTCGATGGGCCGCCTATAAATAGACCTGTCACCTTCCCTCCCTGCCTTCACCCTGGGAACCTGAGCCCCGAAGCCCATCCATCCCCAGGGAAGGAGGAGGATGGGGACAGGACATCCTTCTCCCCGGCCCTGCAGCTGCTGTCCCCAGAGCCAACTCCCCTCCCCAGGGCAAGCCCTGACGGGGATGTTTGCACCTCAAAAGGGTTGTGCTGTGCCAAGCACCAAAGATCTCCCCACGGCACTGAAAAGCCAACTGGGACTGTCCCATCTCACCACCATCACCTCTTGCCCAGCATCAGCCTCTAGTGCCATAAGCGCAATTTGGCAAGGTAGAGTGCAGCCCACAAAGCTTCCAAGTCTTTAGCCTTATTATGGGAATAAGCCCCCTGATGCCTTATTTCTCCTCTCCGACCTCTGCACAAGGGCTGCTCGGTTCCTCAGGACCGTGGTTCACCCCGGCTTGCACATCTCTACCCCAGGATGCTCAGCCACCGGCGAGCCCCAGCAAGGGCAGCGATGTGGCTCTGGAGCAGGTGGCTTTGCAGGAGGATGCTTTGAATGGCAGAAGGAGGCTGTGGGCACACGCACAAGCTAAAGTGAGCCTAAATCTCACTCTAGGCTAGGAGCAAACTGCTGCCTCTCTGTCTCTGCGATGACCTGGTCCTGCATCCCTCGCATCATGGGCACTGCTGAGGTCAATGGCACTGAGGGTGGGGACAGCGAGTGGGCAGTGCTGGCAGCAGGTGCGTTGAGCAATGGAAAGATCATCCCAAAATTTGCTGGGGCCAACTGATTTGACGCTGCCAGGCAAGCCAGGCTCAATGCACATGCAGGCAACCCCCTCCCTGCACCCCCTCCTGCCAACGTCACCCTGCAGCATCTCTCGTCCCCAAACTGCCCCGTGCCCACAGCCCCTCACCCCTAGCTGGGCACAGACTGGACTTAGAGCCAAGAAATTTGGGAAGAGCCAACTCCAGGCTGTGCCACCCCAGCACCAACACCCAAAGCCTGGCACGCGCCCAGCACCCCCAACCCCCAAAACCAGCCACAGTACTCTGCAAATGAAGCACTGAGACAGTGACCCCCTATTTATCTATATTGGGGAAAAGGGTGGGAATTGATCTCAGAGGCAGTAAAAGGTTTGAGGAGAATTGATTTTTCCCTCCGAGAGATAGAAAGAGCCAGGAGGGAGAGAGGGAGGGAGGGAGGAGGAAGGGAGGGAGCGGGGGAGGCCTCGGCCCCAGCGAGCACAAAACCCCACTTTAAAGATGCACATCACTTCCCTTTCGGCCTTTTTTTTTTCCCAAAGGGTGGCCGTGATTTACAGCCGCCGGCCGGGTTCACCGCCCCGCACGAGCCCAGCCAGCGCGCCGCTCCGGCCCCACCAGCCACCGGCAGCGGAGGACAGGGACAACCTGTCCCCGGGGACCTGCACCCCTAGACCCATGCAGGCGACCTGTGAACCCCGCAAACCCCAGACCCGACCAGCGGAAAACCCCGGGCGCAGACGAAACCAGCAAGTGGGCAGGGAATTGCACCGGCGTCTCCGGCCACTCGCCGGGTTTAGTCCGGGCTGCAGCCGCCGGCGGTTTGCTTGGTGGCAGGCACGGCCTAGGAGGGACGAGCCAGGCTACACCGGCCGCCCACCTTCCCTTAGAATTAAAAAAAGTCAATCAAATATTGACAATTAAGACAGATAACTGAAAACGCTGGACTCGATGTTAAGTCGGCTGTAAAAATGTCAGCGTGGGGAAAGGGGTCATCTGCAAAAATAAATCAACCCCTTTTACACGCCCACCCCCAAAAATGAGATAAAAAAAAGCAGAAGGAAGGGCTTGGGGAGGGTGGCTCTTTTCTTTAAAAGTGGATTTCTAAATAACATTTTGGGGGAGTCCTTTTTTTTTTTTTCCTTTTTTGAGGGGGAGGAGCTTGACGTTTTCAACTCTATTCTTTCACTTAAGTGACAGATTTATCCCAGTAAAATTATGTTTCATGCTCAAACTTTGAAGGGAAAGTGGCTACGTAAATGCTGAAAAAATGCAGTGAGACACACTTGATCCCCCAACTGGACTGCGAAGAGGAGAAAGTATTCAGGAAATGTTAAAAAAGGTGAAAGTAAGAAGCGTTTTAATAGTTCTTCCAGACATGGGGGCCTCCCTAGAGATTCATATAGAACAATCCTGAACCTCTATTTTAACATTTACAGACTTGCAACTCTTTTAAAACTTTACATCTGAAAAACTGCTTGTTCTCTTTCTGGTTTAGATCAGTCTTCATTTTCCTCCTTAGCTCTTCAAATGCTTAACCTTTTTTTATTACATTTTAATAGAGTTTTTCAAGCCACCACCAGTCCCCTCCTTCTGGCCTTATTTAAACCTGGTCGTTTAAATAACGCCTTTTAAAATCCAGGCATTATAGGAGTAAAACAAGATGGCATTTTTTTATTCTTTTGCTTGGGAAATTGGCTAATGCCCTTTCAAGCCAGAGCTGCTCTAGGGTGGGAATAATTCATTTGGAAGATTAATGCTGGATGTATGGAATACCATATAGATGCAATCTGTGCTTCGCTTGAACTGCTAAAGTCCAGTGTGAAATTTTCAGCCAAAGCAAAAGGAAAAAAAAAAAAAAAAAAAAAAAAAAAAAAAAACACACCCCACACAACAACAAACCAGAAGGGGAAGGAAGAAAAGTGTTTCTACTAATCTCCCCAAGCAAGAAAGGGAAATTGCAGCTAATACCAAAGAAAAACAGTTGCGATTCCTACGTACAACATGCATGAGTACAGGCAGTTCCCTGATCCCGGTGCAGGA